ACTCAAATTAGATGTCCAAATAGGTGTTCAGTTAGTCCAAAGATGTCTGAATTAGTTCAGTAATTTTAGCAAAAAGAAAGTTTTTCGGAAAGGCATTTCTTTCAGAAGGAAAGATGTTTATGTTGTTATTATATATGATACCTGAAAGCTGTCCTACTCTCCTCTGTACGTTTTTTGAGGAAAATGAGGACGATTCGAAGGGAAGAAATAAATTTCTTTTAACCCCTTCCCTTATAATCCCAAGTTAGCTCGGATATGTATATATTGCAAATATTTTGTACCCCGAATAAACTTGGGCATAGCGGAATTCGACAATACGTTTTGTTTTATCGCGTTTTTATTCAGCCGGAAACAAAACAAAAAATAATAATTATCTGCTGTGATTGGAAGTTTTCCAATATTTGCTCAGGAGTTTTGTTATTTGTGGGACTGCAGGCGTGTTTTGTGCAATTGTATGTACGATGGTTGATGAATTTGCACAGAAAAAAAAGAGTAAAAAAAAAGAATGGTCGTCACGAGCGAAAATAATGCAGATGATTTTTCAGATGATGAAGATGTGAACCTATACAAAGACTCATATTTAACTTTTTTCATTTACCTGAGATAATTTGGAATAGTAAACGGATGGTAAATTAAATATTTTGTAGGCATAAAAAAAATTAAAATTTCAACTTAGAACTTGTGTATTATGTTTTGTTTTAGTTCCTTGTAGGAGCCTTAGTTCCTTGTATTTATTAATAAAATTAAAAAAATATGTTGATTTCTTGCCATTTTTTTTCTAAAAAATTGCTACGGGAAGCGGTTAAGCAAGTAATTAAGGATTTACTGTCGATGTAAGATTTCCCGCTGAGTTGAATGAGACCAACACAGAGACGATCGGACTGATAGTTTCGAAGTTATAAGGGTTTCCTACACACACACAAAAAAAAGAAGAAAAAAAATTGATTTAACGAAATAATTATATAATGTAACTATATTTGCTGCTTAGCAAACATAGTTACATCATTTAATATTAACTTGCATTAAAATAGATGACTTCTTACAATCGGTTATATAGAATTTGCTGAATGAAATACCTGCTCGCAATACTGTGCAAATTTACTATTACAAATGTTTTTCATATTTTCAATTGAGCCGTGGTGGCTCAGGGAACACTCGCCTTCCAATGTGGTGAACTGATGATTTCGAATCCCAATGATGACTAGTCAATACGAATTCAGCACCTGGCTCGTACTGACCACAGCGCAGACATAAAATATGCTCAGTGGTAGACGGATCATGGGTTAGAGTCTGGCTAACCGTGGGAGGTTTTCGTGGCTTTCCTCTCCATGTAACGCAAATGATGGTTGGTTACATCAAAAATTCCTTCACCCAGAGGGCAAATTTCTCCCAATACTTGATTCAAGAATTCTCTTGTCCTTTTGTTTAGGTTCAAAATTACAAGGCTATATACGGAGTTGAACAGTAGTAGTCGTCAACCCAAAAACTGGGTTCGGCAGTTCAACGATGGTTATAAAATATAATAAAATTGAAATTAATTGAGCCGTGATGACTCAGGGGATAGAACGCTCGCCTTCCAATGTGGTGAACCGGGTTCAAATCCCAATGATGACTAGTCGATACGAATTCCGCACCCGGCTCGTATTGACTACAATGCTCACGTAAAATATCCTTAGTGGTAGATGGATCATGGGTTAGAATTCCTTTGCCGTTAGAATAACCGTGGAAGGGCTTCGAGGTTTTCCTCTCAATGTAATGCAAATGTGGTTAGTTTCATCAAAAAGTCCTTCACTAAGAGGGCAAATTTCTCCCAATATTTGATCCAAGATTTTCCTTGTCTTTTTATTTGAGTTCAAAATTACAAGGCTACGACGTTGAACATTAGTAGTCGTAAACACAAAAGTGATCGGCTGTTCAACAACGGTAATAATATTTTCAATTTGTAATTTAGTTTAGACTCTCTCTTTGAGACTCATCATACTCAAATGCTACTCAAGAAAAAGTCGGTATAATTTTTTCAGTTTTATGCATGTTTCGCATATTAATTGATTAGAACTGTTCAGTCAGCTGCTGAAATGTTCGAACAAATTTATCTCCGGATCTCCCCGAGAGTTTGCCAGCAATTCTGAGCTATTGTCAATTTCAATTTTCGTCATATTCTAAGAAAGTATTAATCGTTACAATATCATATTTATGGTAATGTAACTTAAGTAATACTATTAATTTAACTGATAATTTGATTGCTATTCCAATACTAAAAAATCTCAATGTTTAATTTCTATCTACTCTGTTAATATTCGAGTAGACAAGCAGATTTAATAAAGCTTTTCTCTAAAGTAATATGCGATACAAATACAGATGACCTGCATATCGCGCTTTACTGTCAGAACCTGAAAAAAGTCTATTAAATGAAATAATTTTAAAAATTAAAAAAAAAAAAAATTCTATGGTTTTGCACGAAAAAGTAAGAAATAAAATATTGAGTTTAACTTTTAAGAATATTGTTGATATAATCTCAATTTTCAAGATATTACGTTCATTTTATATAAATTTTATCTTAAAATGTATTGCCAGCATGAAAGCAGATGAAAAGTCGGAGGTTTATTTGCTATTATTGTTATTCGAAAACCATGGACCTTTCCACTGCTTTCTTCAAAAATTTTATGAGAAAATCTGGCAACACATTTTAAGATAAATTTATGTAAATAATATCCAGAAAATTATCTGAGACTATATCAACTTGATTCTCATAAGTTACACTCAATGTTTGATTTCTTACTTTTTCGTACAAAACCATAAAAAAGTTCTTTTTTATTATTATGTTTTTTAAATTATTTTTTTTTTTATTGGGATAACGAAAATCAGTTAGCAGGGGTCTGTCCAGACATTTTGTGAAAGGTCCGTTTTTCGTGAAATTGTGAAAAAAATACTCACATTCTTTCAATTAAGGTCCGCTTTTATGAATTTGTGCAAATAGGGTCCGTTATTGCAAAAAAAAAACCTTTTTCAAGGAGCTTTCAAATTGTAAAGACATACAAGATTATGCTCAACACTGTACAATTATAATTAAAAAAATATAAATTTTAAAAAAATAAACAGCTATTGCTGCTACTAAATTAGAGAAGCAACATACGAATATTTGGTATTTAGCCTATACTGCTGAACGCAGAATATTCATTTCGAACGAATAAAGGAAGTAGCGTCTGCCGAAGACAAAATTTAGTTCGTTTACATCTGTCTTTCTTCCCCCGC